AATTGTCATCACATTCCCCCCTATATCGCACCCCTGGAAGAGACTGTTGTTGTGCTAAAAGGAGTTAGCTTATCAGCATAGCTATTCAAGCCTAGAATGTTATCTGAATGCTAAACATGTAGCAGCAGCACAGACACTAACGTCGTCATCTACAGCCAACATGTCTAAAGACATTCCATAAATGACCAGGAGTTCCTGAAACTCTGGAATCCATAGAATAACTTTGCACCAATCTGATGGTGGAATAATCTAAATAACAGAATTAAAACAACAAATATCTTAGTTGGTGAGCTGAGTTGCCTGATTACTCAATAATCAGATTGATAGCACCTTTTTGGTGCTAATCAATTTAGCACCAAAAAGGGTTCTTGAATGAAAATGTTGCTCATTTTGTCGATATAGTTTTTGATAAAATGTGATTAATCGCAATTTATTAATTACAGACCCTGCAATAAACTCAATTAAGCATTATGGTAATCTTGTCCACCACTATTACTGAGTTATTAGTCAATAAACATGACTAATAACAGGTTTGCCTGTAGGTATGTGTTTCGTAGTGGAAACAGCCAGGCAGTGGGGGATAAATTCCACAACACCACAGTGGAAGTGCTCTCCAGCAATGTGAGTAACCCGTGTGTCTGTGTGTCTGTGTGTATGCGTGCTCGCGCGTGTGTGCTCCATGTGAATGTTAGTTCTCTAGTTGCTCTACCTGCTGACGGCACCCAGAGTCTTGGTTTTCATTGCAGGTGTTGATGCCTTAGGAAAGAGTGGCAATGTAACAGGAAACACCCACCAGAACAAGCTATCTGTTATCACTGCACCACCCACCGCACTGTGTGTGTGTGTTCAGCCACACTTGAGGAACGCTAAAAGGGAAAAGTGTTTATGTGACAGCTGACCTTTGAGTAAAGTTAGACAGACACTGGATCCCTGAGTGGAAGATAAGAGGGAAACCACAATACAGGAGATAAGTCTAGTCCCCAGGCTTCAGGTTGCACTGCGGCCAAAGGGAACTGCTGCACGGCAGGAACAGCTGGCAAGGAAAACTATGTTCTTTAAATTTATAACATCAGAATATTGAAATGATTCTAGAAATTGGGTATTTTTAAAAAAGTGACTAAACTTAAGTCAAAGGTAATTTGGCCAAATCAACAACAAAAAATGAAAGTAAACCAATTTAGTGAAGCTTCTTCTGATTGAAGTTGCTGAAAACATTGAAAATTATGAGAATCTGCCTCAGAACAAAAAAAAGACCTGGAAGTGATGATGAAGACGACGGAGGCGTTATCAGCCTGTTGGAGGATTCAGTCTGCATGGGGCGAGAAATTCCAACGTTCACAATCACTGCTGTGTGAAACAGACGAGTTAAGGTTGAATGAAACTCAGTGAACAAAATGGAGGGAAATAGGACAACCAAAAGATCAAAAGATAAAACCCTTATTTTGGAAAGCTCACAGAAACCAGTTTTACTTTATGAAGTGTACAAGTCACGGTCATCCACTTCAAACAGCGCCTCATCAGGCTGGAACAGCAAGATAAAGACATATATGAAAGCTTTATCAAGAAAATACTGATTCGTTGCTTCTCTTGAAATGTTCAGGCTCATTTTAAGATATCCAGTTGAACCAATCCTATTGTTCAATCATATTTAATTAAGTTGTTCTATACAGCACTTAGTCAACCCAGGCCTCAGGTAAAATGACTTTAGTTGGATGAACGATGAGATCTTCCAATATCTAACAAAAACAAAATGTCCTTAACCATTTACAGGACATCAGTGGAGAGGGATGCTTTCTTAGGTTTGATCTGTAAACTGAAAAGCTGTCCAGGAGTAATACTAGTTACCATGGTGATTACAGGTACACCAATTGCAGTTTTCGGGCCGATCGCAGATCTTTACAACGTCTGTCCTGCCTGATTGTAATTTTGATCAAAACCAATGTTTTGGCTGAATAGAAATTTTCTATGTTAGCAACAGTGGGGTGACTATTGTTAAGAGCACATGTGTAGACGTAATCTGGTGGGTGGGTCTATTAATTAGCCCCCGCTCAGTGAAGATCAAAATGGAACTAACTTCGCAGTAGTATTTAAGATCAGTTTCACATGCACGTGTTGGCCAATCTCCCACAATTAACCAAATTTTGGTTGATTTTATTGGCACGCATCCAGCTTTCTGAACCTGAAGTTATTTTGCTAGTCAGCCAGTTCCAGGACTGGCTGTTAGTCCATAAGATGATTCATTGATTAATCAAACAGATTCTAAAAAGTGAACACAGATTTGCTACATAAAATGTTCAGGGTGGTTCTCCCAGGGCACCAAACTGGCTATGACCGCCACTATTCAGCCAGAGCAGACACCAGCTGTTGAGCTCTGGCCTCCACTTCATTCATATTCCTGGGTTTGCATGTTGCACCCTTCTTTTCAAACCCTAGCAATAAACAATCATGTTAAGACTTCACCACTCATTAGGTAAAACATGGTGTCCCTCTCTGTACTGGGGTAAAACATGGTTACTAGGCATCTCTCTGTCCTCCAGCCTCTGACTCCTCTGTGTTTGTGTTTCATAGACAACGGCTGCAGAGAAGCTCTTGGCTGGCTCACCATCTAAATACAAGCGGTCTGACAGCAGCTTCATTGTTATTGGTGAGTAAATGATGAATCCATCACATGGTGGCCTTAATGTGTCAGGTGGATCTTACTCTGCACCACTGCAAGCAAAGGTATGGAAGAAAAGCAGAATTAGTCTTAATAAGCTGGTTTGTCTCCTGGTGTTCGGCACGGACAGCATCCAGCCTGCAGACTAAACTAAAAGGAGCCGTTGCTTCTGAGCATGGCGTTTACTGAACACACACTCCCTCCAGTCATATTCTGTAGTGTGCAGTAGACCATAAACAGCCTGGCTTTATGGAACAGGTGCCATCACGTTTGCATGGCCCTTTATAAAACACAGACCTGAACCTCATCCACAGGAGAGTTATCAGTTATCAAGCCTCATAACTGATTACTCAGCATGCGATAGGCCACCTGCCATGGAGGTTCTTCTGTGAGCAGAAGAAAGTCTGTGGGAATGCATGTTGTTAAGGCAGAGCAGCTTGTAAACAGTGATACTGGATGGAGTCGGACCTTTCTGATGTCAGGCCTGCTCCACGGATACCGTTTCCTTTTCCAGAAGAATAAGCTGACAGGAAGTGGAAGTTTGAGGATAAAAGCAACATTTACACCAAATACGTTCCAGACCAGCGTTGTTCTAGAGGTGCTGTCGATCAGGAGTAATTAATTATCTCCAAAAAGAAGCAAAGGGTCAGTATCGGCATGGTAACGGTGTCTGTGTAAATGGCTGCAGGCTATACAAAGAGCAGTGATATTAATATGTGTGAAAACGAAAAGCTAAACCCTGCTAGAGTCTGAAACGATTAGTTATGATTAATCAATTATTAAAGTAATTGTCAACTAATTTATTAATTAACTGGAGTAAACGAACTCAAAAATCTTATTAACCTTTTGCTGTCTAGTTAATAATTGGTTAATGCAAAAATTAACCAGTTAATCTGCAAATGATCAAGCGTATACTAAAGGAAGGCTACTGTTGCATTTCTATGCAAGAAAATGTTTTTCTTATTTAAAAAGGAGCTGAATTATTTGTACTGTGATTGTGACAGCAGCAGGTAACCAGCTGTGTTTGTTGCAGATGAATTTTACAACGGAGTGGCTGAAGGAGAAATCGATGAAGTTCTGCAGCCCATTTCAGCTCTGCGCCTGGTGGTTCACTCCAACTCAGATGTCTGGGCTCTGCTGAGCGAGGTCAGAACCTGGAACGCCGAGTTAGTGTTCATCAACAAACCTCTAAGAGAATGTGCACAGATTTTCCCTTCATTTACGCCTTTGGTCTTTCTTGGCATAGAGATTCAATTCTGATTTTTAGGGTTACGATTCGATTCAGAAATGATTTTTAACTCACAAACCAATTTTTCTATTCAAACAGTCTGGAGTTTGTGTTTAAATTATGCGAGTGACAAGAGCAAAAGACAAGTTTAAGAACAATTTAATCCACCACTATCACGTTACAAGTATACAAACCGCCAATGCTATAATATACAAAACACAGTAAAAAAAAAGACCTAATGTTCCAGAGGTTTGTTCAGTTTGTTCAACCGTGGCATCAACATCAACATCGCATTTCAGGGTCCTGTTCACACCGGCCGGGTGTTTAATCCCACATGGTTACACATCTCACTAACTGTGTGTATGTACATAAACACAGAGAGAATTTATGGAGATTTTCTTCTGATATATATATATATATATATATATATATATATATATATATATTTTTTTTTATATGATAGTCTTTATTCTTAAACAGGATGTTTATGAGGCGAGGATGGTGAGTTTAAATCAGGGAGGTACCTGGCTCATACTTCCAGAAGTTGAAAGTCAGGATTTAAATGAGCCTGTGTAACATTCCCTGAGCCCGTATTCAACTCAGTCGGGACGGTATTAATACTGGTGGCATTGAATTGAACACAAAATAACCTGTTAGAATCATCTTCCTTTAAAAGTTTCTGTTGCTGGATTAGTTCTGTGACTATAGTTCTGCTTTCTTCTGTTTCTGGTCTTTGTTCATCAGTTTCAGGTTGAGTTGTTGAATGTTTATATGAATATTCCCTCTGTCTTTAGATGTTGTGTAGCTAGAAGTATTTTTTATTTTTATTTTTACTTTTGGACAGTTGTTATGATGCATAACCATGGGAACAACGTATGGTTTTTAGAAAAATGTAGGAGGTAACTAGCATCTTAAAAACTCAAATAATACCTGAGTGACAAATCCCAGAGGAGCTGAACAGGCTTCAGGCTTCAAAGCAGGAAGTTGATAATGTCAAACCGTATCTCTAACCATACGGTTTGACAGAGATTTAAAGAGGAGCGGCAAAAGCAAATGAGGTGGATTAGCAAATCTGCTAATGGCTGATGATTGTCATCCAGGACATGTTTCTACTGTCTGCCTGGAGACTGAGCTGTTAGCATGTCATGACAGTCATGAGACTGTCATACAGCTGCGGTCTTCAGTCAGAAGTTACTTGAATGATATGAGTTACAACAGCGTTTATGTTTCCTTTGGCATTTTTGATCCTTAACTGAAAGTGATTGAGGAAGCCCTATAAACTTTGGTATAGATCTACACATAAATGATCTACCCAGATAGATCTGCATTCACCTGATTACACAACCGAAACACAAATGTATCAGACATGCTGTCAGTATTTTCAGGAAGTCCACAGAGAAGGTACCCAGTTTAATGGTTACTGGAACCTCCTCTGATGTTTTGTGATGATATAATTCCCCCTCCCTTCTTCTCTACCTCGCCTCCTGAGTTAACCTAGCTAATTATTTTCTTTCTCAATAGATACCAGACACACTGAAAGTCTGGTCACTTATTAAATAAACGCAAAATGTTTCTGGTCAGTCTGATCTTTCACCAGATCCATGATGTCTAGACAAAGACTGTTTATGTCACAGGGACACAACCAGACAAATTCTGTAATGTATCAAACCAGCAGCTTTGAGATAACCCGTCAGAGGTGAACCATGTTTATGGTTGGATTGAGAGCTTTGGAGCGTGTCCAGATTCATTGCTATGGTTTAGTTTGTCTGCATGTGGAGGGAAGCTGTGGGGGGAAGAAGATGTTCTTAGTCATGGTTACCACCAGAGAGGCAGATAAGAAACATTTTTTAGCTGCTGTTGGGTTTTTATTGTCTTGCGTTTGCTATGCAGGGTATCGTTTCTTGGGATAATGCACAGATGGACAAGTAGAAACACATCCAACATGTCTGAGCTCAGAAACATGGAGGAAGCAGACGGTAGTGTGTCTGATAAAGATAGCTCTCAACTTCTTGTCTGCCCGTCATGTTTTCAGCTCAGACCTGTTTGGTCTGCAGGTTCTAGATGCTACACAAATAAGGAAATGTTACCTTCTAGTAACTGTGTGGCTGCTACTTAGATGATAGTTACGGGTACAGCAGCAGAAACTGGTTCAACTTGCTCTCATAAATATCTAAATTTCCTATGGTTCAGATTATTTGATAATTTTCAGATAAACATCACGTTATATTGTCTTCTTCTCTGAATGTCTGCTGGTTGCTGGAGGTTTTTACCTGGATCCGTTGCAAAGCTGTGAAAAATGTGAAACAAACAACATTAGTAATACTGAAACCAAACTGAAAAGATCAGTCATTCTGGTTTCCTCTGCACGTCAGATTCACATCAAGGTATGAAGACAAAGCGCGCCCTCTGCTGGACAAAGACTCTAACTACAGTGATATTGTGAAGCAGCTCTGAAGTCTGATGAGCAGATCGCCTGTTGGTGATCTGAGAGGAGTTTCAAACAGAAACCTGACTCATGTTGAGTAACCATGTGGAGGAAGAAGCATTCCACCCACTGATGGGTTTACACCAACATAACTTGTCACACATGTTTTTGCACTTTGACAGATTTTTATTCTAAGAAATAAACATGTTTGAAATATCAAACCAGGGTTGCCTTTCATGTTTTTAGGCTGTGACTTGACTTACTTTGTTAACCATGTTAAAAATGACCTTTAGTGAACAAAAAGCCTGTGTTCATATAGACCAACTCTCCACAGATCAGATTTCTTGTCTATTAGTGACCCAGAAAATATGCCAAACAATGGAGATCAACCTGAAGTCATGAATTTAAAGTAAGGGTGCTCAAAGTAGGGCCCGGGAACCATTGGCAATCCCTAGACTTTTTTCTTTTTTTTTTTTTTTTTGCAGCCACGAGACCATAATTCAAGATTAAATTAAGTAATTTAAAATCTACTTACAAACAAGTTAGATGCAAGCAGGAAATAGAAGTTTAAATCACTGTAGATCCAAATCTTAACAAGGTTTTCACATTATTAAAGTTTGCAAAAAAAAAAAAAAAAAAAAATTTTCTGGCCTATAAAAACAGTATTTGGGTCACTCTGCTTTTATAAATACTAACTGTATTTAGCCACTTTCAATAAATTAATTAAAAGCAGATTTTGGATCTCTAAAGTCAGTTGATAAATCTGAATCTGTTTACTGTGAAATGAATGAGAAAGCAAAAAACATAGATTTGTGTTGTACTTATTTTTTTGTAAGCTTTTGTCAGTAATAATTTGCTGTAACTAAAGAAAAATGGTCAATCTGCATCAACCACCTTTCTGGCAGATTTCTTTTGAAAAAAAAAGTGAAAAAGATGGATAATTATCTAATCTGTGTCAGTCTGAGACAGGAAATCCAAAATAAATGCTTCAAGTTTCATGAGTGGAAGTTGAGATGAGAAATTAGCTCCTTTGTGCATAGTCTGTCAAACCATCAGTACCAGCAGTCTGATGTTTTATTAAATCCACAAAAACAGCCTGACAAATGTTCATCAGAAACAACCATCACAACTTTATTCAGTCAATATTAGAAATAATAAAAACAATCCACAAGCACAACAGGGTAGAAGACCTGTGTTTTAAATCTAACATGGCTGCCAATCACAGGAAGCACAGACAGAGACGTTACTGAGCGCAGCAGGAAACACTGACTGCTTCATCTGTACAACAGAACTAATACTGACTCACTGAGGGTTTCTGAACACGGACAGAGGCCCCATGTTTCAGACAACAGAACGTAATGGAATGTGTGACCACCAGAAGGCAGTGTTGTTTCTGCTGTTCTCCGGCAGCAGAGTGGCGAAGCCAGCAGATAAACCGTCTCTCTGCCCTCCAGCCACCTGCGCTTCCAAGCACTGCAGCCCCATCGCTCTGCAGGCCGTCAGGATGATGTGGGCGGATCTCAGGCTGTGTGCTTTCAGAGCGAGCAGCTGGTACTGCAGAACCAATGGTCTGAGTCGCTCCAATCAGACGGCATGAAGAAAACGGGCTGTCCGACAGTTGATTTTCTGCCATTGATATCTCTCTAGGACTGAAATGATTAATTGGAGTGATTGTGATTAATCGGTTATTGAAATAATTGTCAACTAATTGTTAACTAGAAGTTACAGACTCAAAAAAAGGTAATATGGCTATTAAAACAACATGCTGTACGCTACTGCGCTGCATCTTTGGCAATAAAATTATTTTTAAATTAATTGAATTAATTGTCTCTTAATGTATAAAAAGGCTTACATGATTAAATGAAAAATCTGTAGAATGAACCAATTTTTTTGTCTGATTAATCACCAGAATAATTGATAGATTAAACGATTACTAAAATAACCATTAGTTGCAGCCCTACATCTTTCTCATATGAGATGAACAGCAGATTTTTGAAAGCAGCCATGGAGATAAGTTTATTTTTATCCTCTTTTTTCTGCTTCGTAACTAAATTATGTAGCAAATGTGTAGTTTACCTGAGTGATGTCATGTATCTTGTTTATAACACAGTATTTACAGTGCGAGTGCTTCAGGTATTAAAAATTGATTGGATTTCCTAAATTCCACCTGTGTTTGAAAAGAAAAGTTAGCATAATTGTGTAAATTAATCAAACTCCGTTTTGAAATCTATGCTAGGAAAAAAAAAGTCAAGTAAACTAATATACTGAGAAATGAAACAGCTCATTACATCATAACATGATTCGTCCAATCCCCTGCTGATCCTCAGGCTGACTCCTCCTCCTTCTAACCAGCTTATGTATCTGACGTCTCCAAAACCTATCTAAACAAAGCAACACTGCCCCCTAGTGGTCAAGTGAAGATAAATACCAATGTTTACATTCAGGCTTGGCATTATGTCCCAGACAAGATGTTATTAAAGAGTCCATGAGGCCAGACACTGTGACCTTTCTGGGTCTGACTGGGCCCTGTGATGTCAGAGGTTCTGCCTACTTCCGTTTACTCTTGGTGTCAGTCGTCTGGAAGACACTAGAGGCAGACATGAGATTCTCGATGTACTGGCCCAGAACCTGGTTCTCCGACTTCAGCTTCAGGTTCTCCTCCTTCACTGCATCCACCCGGGCAGACAGGTCTGGAACACACACATGGTCCACGTCCAGGACGTCAGTCTGCAAGGCTGTTTGCCTTACAGAAGAGGAACGTTGACTAAGGTAGTAAACGATGTCAGGTGGAACTGTCCAACTATAGTGAAAGTAACTGCACCGATTCAGAGGAGGAAAAGATTTTAAGTTACAAAAACATAACTGATTAGTGTGCTTTGCAATATAACCTGGATTAAAAACACATTTTATGATCATTTACAGGTTGTATATTAACCAGATTGTGATCTTTATAAATAAACTCAGATCTCCGGTGGCTTACAGGAGCAAACGCTTAGCAAACGGCCAAACGTGCTGCTGCACACACATGGATGATTAAAACTCCAAAACACACAATAGAACAGAAAAACACTGCAACCACAGGAAATAAAAGAAAAGGGAAAATGGGGCAAATGGCTTTAACAAATGCAAACATGAAAAACTGCAGACTCCATTAAAACTAGGGGGAGTCTAGAATAGCTACTGTTATTTAAATAAATATACTGCTGTTCTAGAATATTGAAAAAGATTGCATTTCAATAAGACTAGTGCACCTTTTCTACCTTCCATCTTTACTGAGAGTCTGATCCCAGGTGATTTGTTGGTTGACTCCCCCTAGTGGTCAGGAGCTCTTCTGTTTTGCAGAGAGAGCTTGCAGCATTTCATCTCAGCCATTTCTACTAATCACAGCATTTTCTCCCTTGGTCCTGTTTCCTGGGACTGCAGCCTTTTTTTGTTTGTTTTTCTGTTGATTTGCTTGTGTGTTTTGGAGTTTGGATCACTCATGCGTTTGCAGCACGTTTCGTTGTTTGCCGCTGCCTGCCACCATCCAGATCACTCTGTCAACTCGCAATTCCCCACTTCCTCCCAGCTGATCCACACAAATGTGGAATAGTATTCCAGAAATAACTGACCAACTAGAAACACTCGCACTCAGGATTCAGGTAATGTTGCATAGTCACCATGCCATAATGGATGTGTTAGGCTTGTTCTCATGGTGTTGTCCTGTGTTAGCAGTGAGTGCAGGGAGACATTCTCACCCTCCAAGGTGTGCTGGAGCTCCAGCACCTGGTTGATGAGTCTGGTCTTCTCCTCCAGCTCAGCCTGGTTCTCCAGGTCACCTGCAGCCATGAAACACTGATTTCTTTACAATCAACTTAAAATAGACTGAGTGTGTGTGTGTGTGTGTGTGTGTGTGTGTGTGCGTGCGTGCGTGTGTGTGTGTGTGTGTGTGTGTGCGTGCGTGTGTGTGTGTGTGCGTGCGCGCGCGCTCCCTCACCATCATCTGAGCTCATGGTGAAGTACTCGTCTTCCTTTTTGGAATGCAGGGCTGCGACTCTCAGACACTATGCACACATTCAGATGAACCATTTAAAGAGTTTACAGTTGGAGCAGATCTGTGAAGAATGATCCCTGGTGTGATTTAAATACCACACTAAATGCCGTTAAATCACTGCTATTTATAGTAGATTTTTTTTAAACTTGACACAAACAGTCGTTATTTAACTAAATGCTGTGCTATTGTAGACCGACAGTCTACATCAGGGGTGGGCAACTCCAGGCCTCGAGGGCCGGTTTCCTGCAACTTTTAGATACATATTTACTTCAACACACCCGAGTCTAATAATGAGGTCATTAGCAGGACTCTGGAGAACTTGACTGCACTGAGGAGGGGATTCAGCTGTTGGATTCAAGTGTGTTGGACCCGGGAGACATCCAAGAGTTGCAGGACACCGGCCCTCGAGGACCAGGATTGCCCACCCCTGGTCTACATGCTAACTTGGTCACCATTGTGACATAACCCGTTGTGTGAAAACTACTGGCTTCCCTGGTAGCCGAAGCTAAAGAAGAGGTCAGCTGTGTTTGCCTGCTGCTGCTAACTAGCTGTGAGCATGCTAACAGGCTAGCTACAGGCTGCTTAGCATCAGTGACAACAAACCAACATGTCCTATGGTGTAGCCGTGGCCAGGAAACCTACCTTATGATGGGAAAACAAGAGGCGCTGCGCTAAACTGCGAAGCGTCGAAAGAAAATTTGAAGGTTTGTACGTGTTAGCTTAGCTGATGTTTGACACCATCTGTTTGATTTAGACAGGACAAGTTATACACAACTTAGCCGCTGGACGGCGATGTACCACCACGAAGTGAAATGTTTAGACGAATCTTTTTTGTGTGCGTGTTTCTGGTATGCAAATAATTCTTGCGCACAGTGTTAACATGTTGCAACAGCACAGACGTCCCCAATGCTAACGTCAACGTTCACATTCCACATTTCTAAAGAAATTGTATGAATGATCAGGGCTTCCTGTCTGGAACACTGAAAATCTGAATGGGTATAATAACACTTTGCACCAATCTGATGGTTGAATAACAGAATAAATACAATAAATACCCTTGTTGTTGAGCTCAAGAACTGCAAAATGGATTTTTGAATTGAAAATGTTACTTATTTTGTCAACATGTAGTTTTCTTTTAAAACCTAATTAATTACAAACCCTAAAATTAACTTGACTAAAAATTTTAGCATAGTCTC